AGTTGCTACTATCTCTAATTATCAGCAGGTATTGGTCCATTCAAAAAGGAGGCTCAAACCAGAAATGCAGGCAGGTGAAAGATTTGAAATGATCAACTGGCTTATCTGTAGGAGTTTTGATTAGAGTTTAACTAAGTAGATTGCAGATTACGAAGGTTGTGGATTTGAACGAAGTGCATGCCTTGAACACGTAATATAAACTGACACTTCACTGTATTACTTATAGGTTTAGTTATTGTTGTGGATTTTGCCTTTTGGCTTGAGGTCCTTCTCAAGTGTCAGAAAACTTTCAATAGCAATATAAGGTCATAGAACCACACAGTCAACAGCATCCTTCAATCTATCCCTCTAAAGCTGATTAGGTGATTGCTAATCTCATTCCTTCTTTTCAGAAGTTTATGCAAATTGGCTGGTGCATTTTCATACAGAACAACAGTGATAGCTTCACATGTTAGTGGTTGTTGCTGCTACACTTCAGGATGGCTTAGGAATGTTCAAAAACAAGCCGACTGTTTTTCAGGGACACCATTATGCCTCATGAAAACAACTGAATTATTGGACTGCATTGAAATTAAAACAGGGAAATATTCCTTTTCATTGAACAAATCCTTGTTAGCACTAATCCACCATAAGAACAGTGCTCTTGATCCCGTGTGTTCGCTCTGTTCTCATATCCATTTACCTCTAGCCTAAGGGCTCGGTTTTAACTCTACATAAATTAATGAGATTTGTGTGCGTTAAAATCTTGCTCTGGTCTCAATCACTAATGTTTACTGTGCATTCTGTAGTTTTACAACCAATCCGATTTATTACTATCAGAATCAGATTGAGCAGACCAAATATGTGCTGCATGTTTTTGGAGTCTTTAGTCATTTAAGAAATAGTCTGCCTTTTGATTCTTCCTTTCAAACTGCATGACCTGACATTTTCCTCCATTAAAATCCAACTGTGGGGTTTCTGCCCACTGGCTCAACCTATCTATATTCCCTTGTAGATTATTTATGTTCTCATCATAACATGCTCTCTTTGTTTCTGGATCACCAGCAAATATGGATAAATTATACTCTGCCCATTGCTCCAAGGCATTAGTATAGATCATGAATAATTAAGACCCTATTGACTCTTGTGGCACTCCACTAGTTACATCTTTCCAAGCTGAAAACAATTCATTAATCTTAACTCTTGGTCTTCTGTGCGTCAATCAATCCTCAATCCATGCTATTACCCACAATATTGTGAGCTCCTATCTTGTGCAATAATCTTTTCTGTGGCAGCTTATTGAACGCCTTCTGGAAATCCACATACACCATACCTATCGGCTCCCCTTTATCAACTCTGCATGTTATCTCCTTAAAGAACTCTAGTTAATTTGTAACATGTGATTTCATTTTCATGAAACCATGTTGACTCTGCTTGATTGCTTTCAGCTTTTCTCAATGTCCTGCTATTTCTTCCATAATAATTGTCTATCGCATTTACCCAATAACTGATGTTAAGCAACTGGCCCATAGTTTGCTGTTTTCTGTCTCCCTTCGTTCTTAAACAAGAGGGTGTCATGTCAGCATTTTTCAAATCTGTTGGAACCCTCCCAGAATCCAATGAGTTCTGGAATATTTCAAACAATGTCTCCGTTATCTCTCCAGGCAATTCCTTTAAAACCCTTGAATTCAGTCCATCAGGTCCTGGCAACCTGTCTGCCTTCAGACCCATTAGTTTATCACATACTTTGTCCTTCATGATCGGGACTGTTACAAGACCTTTCCTCCCACTAGCACCATATTTCTCTGCTATCTGAAGGGCATTTACAATGTTCTCCTCTGAGAAGACCGACATAAACTATTAATTTAAATTGTCTACCATATCCCTTTTCCCTGTTACCAATTCCCCTGTTGCATCATTTATAGGTTCCACTTTTCAGGAGGCCTGTTCAGTCAACCATGAGTACTGTTGTGGGAAGTCAGACAGGGTTAATGTAAGGCAAGAAATATTCCTGGAATATGGAACTGCTGTGGTCAAGAGGAGTGCGGCATGTTCCCCAACATTTCCTCTCAGGTGCATGACGTTACAACAACTCAAAAGTCCCCGCACAGGCCAACCACAATTGGTCCCTTTAAATCACCACGAGTAGCTGCACAGAGAAAGTTAGGAGGGACCAGACTTAAAGAAATTCCCTTTGTACATGAAACAGAAATGTTGGAACTCAGCTTGCACCCGTCTACAGACCCCAGTTAACAGTCGGTGTACCACAAAACCCTCTGAGCATTTACCTTATGTTGGGGTGTGTTCCCTTTGGCCCCTGGCTCCCACACCAATTTCCACTCCTACTCACAACCCTAACAGCATTCCCAGCAGCTTCGAACAGGAGGCAGACTTGGAAAATGTAAGTAAGACCCAGTTGTTAAAATCAACATGTTTCTCCAATTTCAGTCACTGGTATAGATTCCCTTTTGAATAAAGTACTCTGAACATACTGTTGATATAAGGTGCGGTGAAGATGTACAGATTGTTGTTTAGGCTCCTTTTGTAGTAACTTGCTTCATATGTCTCTGGGTTTTCTGTCCATTCTTCTGCAGCACTAAAAAACAAATAATATTTCAGAAATGTAGACTCTGCTTTTTAAATTTAAATCTGCCTGAGAGCAATGTAATGAAAATGTTCGACAAAGTTATGAAAGGCAAGTAGAATATTGCAAGTAAAATACAGTTTTCAATTAAACTGCAGGTCAAATGCGCTGAAATTCTCATCACTGGGTTAAATCATTTTCTTTCTTTATTTGTTCTTGGAATATGGTTTTGCTGGTTGGGTCAGTATTTGTTGCCATCTCTGATTTCTCAAGAAGGTGGTGATGAAACACTTTCTTAAATGACAGATATCTATCTGGTGTAGGTGTACCCGCAGTGCTAGAGGTGGAGGGAGGGGTGGGGGAATTCCAGGATTTTGACTCAATGACAGTGATTAAACACTACAATTAAACACTACCCCCCATAAAAGTTAAAAGGGTTAATGCGTTTGTTTTTAGTTTTGCATAGTGCAATGTCAACCTTCAGTAGGTTCCTGAACGCCAGACATTATTGAGTCTGCAATGCTGGGAAATCCAAAAATGAGAATAATAGGTTGCAATTTAAACAATATACATGATGCAATAATATTTTGCAAGATGATTTCTTCAGTTCTTAGTTTCTTCACTTCGTATTCATGATTAACTAAGTGGCTAAGGACACTGCCTCCTGCTGTTCCAGAAACAGCTGACTACATAGCAAACCTATTTGTATATATTGCTAAATCCAATTGGCTAGTGTATTTCTTTACCAGATTCATTTGTAAATATAATGTGAGGTATGTTGGTTCAAGTGCCCTAATCATCATTTATTTTATAACTTATTTATGGTATTGATTAGCAATCACTATTCATAAGTTATAATGCATGTTATTCTAGCGGTAAGGATTTGTTATTTATCAACAGATTTCTTTAAAGAAGAGAAGGCAGGTTAATGTTGGATAGATTAAAATCTTAAGGATCAGCCTTCTGACCCAAGCTCATCCTCAAGCTGCTTTGAATTTGATAAGAGTGCAGGTGACCAGCCTGCACCGAGGAGTGGGCTGGTAAATTAAATAAGAATTTGCAACCCTTGATGTTATTTCAATTTTCAAATTTAATTGTGGTCACCCAGGGTTTTCTGAACCTCGGGATCGATAAAGTGATCCAGGTAGGTAGTTCCAGGCTGCAAGGACAGAGTCTCAAGGCAAGGTATATACCTAGAGGAGATCATTGATCCAAGACACAAGGGTGGATCGTAGAAGCGAGGACAGAAGTGAGGAGGAAAAGATAGATCCACATTGTGAGGATACATCCATGAGGGGAAAGTAAATTCAAGTGGCATGGATGGATCCAGGAAATGAGGGAAATTTACACCATCCTTCTGGATCCAGCCATCTATCAGAATAACCCATATGGGTGCACAGCACCCCCATTCCCCACATTTTTCAAAAGCATAGTCAAAGCTTCTCATTTTCCTTCCTATCTTGTAGACGTCCCCACCCACCCTCCATGCACTGGACTCACCCCATCCTCACCACCTGCGTGTTGAACCCACTTTTCCACAGCTCCCCCATCCTCACCACAGAATCAATCTCAGATTCTCAACTGATTTGTAATTAGCTGCAACGAATGAACAACAGATCCAAGGACATGCATCCTTCAGTGCAAATGTCTTACCTTTTGGGGTAAATCCTTGTAATTCCTCCATCAGTTGCTACAAATCTTGCAAGAACTCCAGCCCTATTTTACAAAGAAAAGTTACTTTACTTGAGTAGAAGCACAGAATTCTCTCACATGCACTGTCAGTCTAATTTTTGATGTGACAATACAAACATTTTCTGCCACTGTGTGGAAACTCATTTTTGTTTTTAAATGGAGGGCCAGACTTCACGAACGTTGATATGGTGTCATAATATTGTTCAAGGGAACCCACACACACCCCTAATCCTTGCCCACATCTTGCAGTGAAATTCAACAAAATATCATCAAGGTACTAAGGCCTGTAATGGTGCCAGGAGTGCATGCCTTGTGTTGAGGATGGGGCCAGGGTGGAGGATAAGCAAATCACTAGATCACATTTCAGTGTGGGCCTGGCAAAAACTTAAAACAAATTACAAAAGCTGACTGGTAAATTATAGCAGCAGTTTCCCTAAATCAGTCCACCTCGTCAAGATGGGCTACTCTGAAGAAAACTGTCTTCTAAAAGCTAACTGTTAAAAAAACAGTTTCCAAGGGAAAACAGGTGTCCACTGCATCCAGTGTTACTGAGGCATAAACGATGGGAGATGTGTTAAATTTCAATCCACTCACTCATATTTGGCTGGCTGGATTCCAAACCTTTGACTTGATTTGATTTATTACTGTCACATGTACCGAGTTACAGCAAAAAATATTGCTTTGCACGCTAAGCAGACAAATCAGACCTTACGTAAGTACATCAGGGTAATAGAACAGAATGTAGAATATAGTGTTACAGCTACAGAGAAGGTGCAGAGAAAGATCAACCCTAATATATGAGAGGTCCATTCTTAAGACTGATAACAGTGGGGAAGAAGCTGTTCTTGAATTTGTTGGTCCATGCTTTCAAATTTCTGTATTTTCTATCTGATAGAAGGAAGTGAAAGAGAGTATAACCAGGGTGGGAGGGATCTTTGATTTTGTTGGCTGCTTTCCCAAGGCAGCAGGAAGTATAAATGGTATCAATGGAAGGAAGGTTGGTTTCTATGATGGACTGGGCTGCGCTTACATCGCTATGTAATTTCTTCCTGACACCATGATGAAAAATACTAAAACTGTGGGGTTTCGTGAGAGTTACAATGGCTTGATTTCGAAATTTGGTATCAGAGATTTTGAATAAATAGTCTGTTACCCGGTAAGCACAAAGCAAATCAAAATATTCATGTGGTAACTGGTGCTTCTTAGATTTCTTCAATCAAACATTTTTCAATGGTGAAAATTCTACTAAAAGGAATAATGTTAGCTATGACTCTTTAAGGACAACAGCAGCAGATGTATGTTAGAATTGATCTGTCTTGATATTGTGTTGTTACATTATAGGAAAGACATAGCTCAGCTAACAAGCATCCTGAAGAGAACATGTACAATAATAGCTAGATTGAATACCTTGCTAAGTATTTAATAAAAATAATATGTCAAAGCACATTGTTTGTCATTATTTTCCATTTTAAATTCTTATATTACATTTATAACAGAACCATCTTGTCACACAGTGAATATACAGTCCCTCCCCATCGGATGTGGTTACAACTAGGGAAGTTGCGAAAACTGCCCATCTCAATCGACAGGGGTGCTTGAATTCACAGTGGAAATGTAAAGGTAAAGACAGAATCTTTGAATTATAAAATTGAGCGCCTTGTTCCAATCTTGTTTGTTCCTCTCCCTTTTATTTGTCTGCTACATTTTGTTCCTCTTTAAGCTTCCTACCTATTCTGTCACTCTTTTCCCCTTTACCTCTTATGTTTGTAGCCTTCTTCATGTAAGTTGTTATGTGTCTTTCCGACACAAGATTTCTTCACTCATTTACTCAATTTGCAACTTATACCTTTGATAAAGGGCAAGTTGTACAACAAAAACAGAAGGCAACATATCAGAGGTGGGAATAGAGAAACACAGCAACATTACTGCACACAACAACTTTGGACCCTTCTACTTGCGCCAGTCAAAAAAGAACTATTGAGCCTAATCCCAGTTGCCAGCTTTCTCTGGAGATTAAGCAAGGAGATAACAAGGGCCGTCACAGGAAGAAAGAAAGGCACCTTTCAAATCATCCCAGTTAACAGATTGAGATTGTTGGTTGAAAGTGTGATCTGAGATGGAGAAAAGTGGAGGAGGAGGGTTATCTGGAAGGGACAGAGCAGAAAGGGACAGCAGGTCAGTGCTGCCACACTGTGACCCCATGTCAAGGCTTGAAAATTCAGTGAGAAGAGTAACAGAGGATAGGGCAGCCATGATGGCAAGGGCCTGTTAGAGCAAGAGATCAGCTGTTATAGTTCAGACAGAACTCCTGGCAGCCACTGTTACCTCAAAACTCAGGACCCCACTTGGGGGTCCCAACTCCCACTTTGGAATGCATTGGAACAAGTGTTCACCCAGTTGGATGATAAAGGATAGACAGAGTGGGTAAAATGTCAGTGGTTCAGGTTTAATTGAGCAGGGGTTGAACTATCATGGCATTTAGTTTGAGATGTTAACTGTTAAACATGAATCAATATCAGGATTGAATACATGTTGTGCGTTTTATGCAGACCAGTCAGGACTCTTTAAACGGATCCATTCTATCCACAATGTCACAGGATGATTGATTGCACATGCTTCGGTACCATCAAACCAATCATTGACTCCCAGGCATAATTGTCAGTCATGGGCAATGACAAGAAAGCCGGTCTAAAACATACACATTATCCTTGACTAAGGAAAATCACCTAAGACCAGCAGCAGAATTCCTGTCTACTGAAAATACAAGTAAAGCTTCAGTTAATTAAATGTCCAATCTATAGTTTTGCAAACATCAATTTAATAATGTTGAATATATTTATTCCCACTTTGTTGACAGGTTTAATAAAGCTCAGCAAACACATTTCTGCACTTTTAGCTTTTAAAAAGAAATCACAGCAGAAGTTGTTATTTACAGTTCATAACAGTAAATGAAAAGACCCAAGGTTGATTGGAAGAAATGTCCAAACTAAAAATGTAACGTTTAATTAGATTTTGACCTGGATATACATTCATTATCTCTCTGTTTTACATGTGTTTTTATTTACATTCGTTTCTGAATTATAAGGAAATAATGTCAGCATGATATGGTGAAAGAAAACAATAACTACTGTGTAAATAGTTTGGTTTCCTGAAACTGATCTGAAGTTGGCACCAGTGAAAATGAATGCTCAACTATTGACTAAACAGATGTACAAAATTAGAGGAATTGAAATTCAGTAAATCTAATAGAAATTGAATTCATTTGTTCTGTTTCAACATAGTTTTGAAAGGAATCAAAAGTACAACCATTTCAAAACAATATCTTTAATTTGAATGTCATCCTTCATAAGTCTGTTTGCCCAAAAGAAGTCAAAGAACATTTAAATATTCTTCATTTACTGGAGCTTCCTGATAATTTACATTCAGTGTCATGAGTTTGGAGATAGTCAAGTTCAGTTCAGTTCAAGAACAGGCTTCCCAGAAAACTAACTTGCTGCCAGCTGTAAGGATTTCAAAAATTTAATGATGGTTCACGATAGTACCAGTTTATGTGAATCAACGGAAGTTAATTTAAAACAATACAAAATACAAAGCAGTATTGCACTGCATTCTGGTGCCAATGTATTCCTGTAAGAAATTTATGATCATTTTGTACCAGCTTGATGACTTGATGCCAATGCATACCCTGTTTGGGCTGGGAGCTAAATATATAGTTCACCCTCACTTACATAAACTCCAAAATGATAGCTTTGTCACATATTAGGTTCTGAGAGGATTAATACTAAGGAGTACATTAAGCTCCAACCAATATAATGATTTCAAAAAGGTTTTTAGTGGGAGAACACATCTAGATCTCAAAGGAGATCCTCATACCCTTAGTGACAATGTTTATCATACAGAAGTAACTCATACCTGATTGCTATCATGGAATAAACTACATGGTTTTTTTTGATGTTACAACATGTTATTTGATAATTCTAACAAATAACTTGAAACTAGCAGGAGATCTAAACAAGTTTCTATAAACTCAATAGCTAAGGCTGTGGGACAGTGATAAGTCCACAGACTCACGCCAGCTACACATCCTTCCTTCTGCCAACCAAATCTCAGAGAAGTGAATCAGTATTCCTCAGCTAGTTCACCGACGCCCAGCAGTGCAGGTAGTCTCACCCATCCTGAGATGCCAGCTTTCATTTTAAGGCTGTTTTCTTCTAAAGGAACATCTGTCTGTTAGCCTGGCCTTTCCATTGGTGGCAAAGTACAATGGAGCATCTGACACACAACACAGCAGTCTGTATGTGCCTGAACACTGTTGGAATTTTGTAGCAACTAGGACATTTGACATCCATGAAGTAGGAGTTGGGGATTTGCATCAAACATTTCTTCTTGTGTTTCTTCTTTTCCTCCTTGGGAGATGGATGTAACAGATCTTTTGACAGAGGCATCTTGAGCATGGAAGCACCGGTGGGGAAAAGAAAAAGCATTGAACAGCTCATGGCATCCCCGTATGTCTCAATCGCACAGAGATGGGGAAGGAAAGAAATGTCACAGCCTCAAAACCTCATCGATTGAAAATACAAAGCTAGCAGTATTGGGATTGAATGCACAACTACAGCATTCTTAGCATCACTTGCTAAACATCTGAGCAAACCTCCAACCACACAAGCTGAATGCACCTGGTATTCCCAGGCAGTCTCCCATCCAAGTACTAACCAGGCCTGAGTTTGCTTAGCATCTGTGATCAGCAAGGATCAGGCATGTGCCGTAAACCACATCTTGTCTTAGCAGGCCCCAGAGATCCCAACCTAAAAGGGGATGTGGAACAAATCCATCTTATGGCAACAGAGTCCAGCTTGCTCATACAACATAATGCCAGCAGGCAGCTGTCTGAAGGTTTAAGTTAGCTGCAACATTACAACAAAAGCAAATCTTTTTAAAAAATTGTAGCGTATAATTTTCTAAATGTCTAACATGCATGTAATAATTATTCCACACAAAGTAACATATCAAACTGCTTAAATTAACAAGCCTGGTTCAATTTCTTGAACACAGATACAATCTGTGCCCTCCTTATACTTAAGCACCTCAGCTACTGAAATTCATTCTTTCAAGTAATCATTTGCATTACTGAAATAAAATTCACACCAGATACAGGTGATTTACTCAATCTGTTCCATTTGCACCTGTGAAAGTATCATATTATAAAGCTTTGCACCACACCATGGTTTCTTTTCTGTAATACACAGCTCCCTAAGATGCAACTTTTCATGTCTTAATGTGTAAATGCATGCCTATGGCGTAGATAGAAGCTTGCTAAAACAAAAATGAAACAGTAAACCCTATTACAAGTCACATGAAATGGAAAGTCAGAACTTACGGATTTTGTTTTGTCCAATAGTTTGTTACAAGTTCACTTGTAAATCCAGCATCAAGTAACAAGTTATTGATCAGATCAGTTTTGCCTGGAAAAAAATGAAAGTATTAGAAGAGAAATACAAAACTTGAGGACAGACAGCATTACATAAGCATAAGATCTGTCATTTCTCTCACAATGCAAGTCTTTGCAGCTTCAGGCCCTACAAAATTCAACTTAAACTCAGGGAAAATGATAGCTATCCCATGTAATGCAACTTGTATTGTTATTGCTCTGAACTCGTTCCTTTATGATGATTAACTATCTACCCCACATCTGCTTCTCCTCTGCTGTTAAGTGATCTCAGCTCTGGCCTTTGTCATAGACCCTAATTTTTAAGTAAATTAAACTTGTACTCTATTCATTTCTTTTGTTTCTTTTATTTTACAAGTTATTCACTACTGGTTCTGTAGTTTATTTTTCTAATCTTCAAGTTCTATTACAGCACTTGAGCAAAAAAATCCAGGTTGATGTTCCTGTGGAGGACTTACAGTGTGCTTCATTGTTGGAGTTGCTGTCTTTCAGATGAGATGTTAAACTCAAGTCCTTTCAAGTGGACATGAAAGATCCCATGCACTATTTAAAAAAAAAACTGTGCACTTGTGAATATTTATCCCCCAATCAGCATCACAAAAGCAGATTATTTTAATTCCCACATCACCGTTTCTGGAAGTTTTCAGTAATTTGATGCCACATTTCTTACTACAACAATGGCCAAGCTTCAAAGATTTTTCATGAGCTGTAAAGCACTTTGAGATGTCTAGTGTTCATGAAAAGTGCTTTATAAATGCAGGTCTTTCCATTTTTTACCCTTTCACAATACCTGAGCAAAAAGAGCTCCTTGTCTACCTGAACTCTTGCCATGAATATTCTACATTGCCCAGTTGAATTGACTTTTTAATTACTTCTTTCTTTACTAGAAGCAAATTACATTTATGTTGTGGTCCCTCTGAACTGGTTATAACAGAAATTGTGGTGAGTAATGGGTAAGAACTGAAACTCTGTCACCCTACATCATGGCAGACCACTTGTACTGATATACTGCACAAGCCCTGAGCAGCAGGCTTGGAGATAGCAAGGATGGGAAGTTGTTGGGAGCCATGGCTGGGAGAGCTTGCCAACATGCTGCTACCAAGGGTAGCAGGAACGGCAGCAGGTGTGCAATTTGAAGGCCTGATAAAAGCAGCCCCCACGCTCCCCAACCCCACAAGCTATTACTTAGGAGGCCACCAGTTGCGTACAGGTGGCCTCCCAGTGGCTTCCTTAGATGGAGGTTGACTGTTATATTCAGAAGTTCTATGTTTGAAGGATGGAGTCCCAGCATTTACATTCCAATCACCAGAGCCTGTCACCTTCTCTTGCGAGGGGGCAGCCTTAGCATTGGCCACATGTATTAGCAGCACTGCAGAACTGCTAACCCAGAGAGCTAGGCTACGCCCAACTGAGAGGCTGCCACTGAGAAGATTACTGCCACACCCTCGCTGCCTGCCTGTGAAAGCTCGAGATTCACAATTGCTGTCAATGTTGCAACTTATGCCCTGCCAGTCTGGTTCCGGTAACTATTTCACCTATACAGCCTGCAAGATATGAATATTTTCCGAAGTCCAAGGGCTGAGTCTCACTATATTCTGGCAAGTATTCTCTGCTTGCTCCTTCAGCTGTCCATCTTAGACACCCGGCACCAACATTTCAGAGTGTACCCAATGAGCAGTGACCACACACACCCTATGTCTATGAATATTGGCATTTGATATGCACTGGCATCAATATCATCATGACACATTTCTGATTTTCTTACAGAATGCTGCAATTTGCAGTGCACCAGCAACTAGCATTGTAATGCTGCAGCAACTACATTTAGCACGCAGGGGCAGGCACCCAGTTCAGGGATTGGACCCAGGTTGCATCTCAGGGCTGCTCGCTCACTCTCTTAGCGCTCACTCACTTTGAGCCTACCTGGATGCTCGCAGCATTCCAGTCTAGACTTGATGTTTATTGCAGACCCAAAGCCAGGCACCTTGTCAGGATTGTCAGCCGTGATCAATCAATTGGGGGTGGACCTGTCACTGTACAGCACCATGCTTCCTCAATCTCACACCTGCAACATGTACCAGTCACTTACACAATACAGTCACACTGCACAAAAACAAAGTTGCTGGAAAAGCTCAGCAGGTCTGGCAGCATCTGTGAAGGAGAAAACAGAGTGAACGTTTCGGGTCCGGTGACCCTTCCTCAGAACATTGCAGTTACTAAGAAACCTTCCTGAATTTCATGTCAGTGTCTAGATTCTATCTGGCAGGTGGGAGAACAGAAGAGTGCATACTAATCAGGTGCCATAAAGAAAATATGAGGGTGATAATGAGCAATAATACCATTAATAGGTCTCTTGCCAGTCACTAGAGAGTGTCTTGTCTTAAACTTAACTGGAAAATGCAACTTATTGATTTTGATGTTGAGAAAGGCCTCACTTGACCTCTCGCTTAATTCTCCCAAATTTTTCACCATTGCCCACAAGATCCCTTCCCAAGATTTTTTCATCCAGTTTCCAAACTGAACCAAGACTAGCTCTCTAAAAAGTAAAATTATGAAAAACAACAATCAAAGAACTATTGCTGCAACTGAATCATTATGTAATATAAATATATCCATTCATCAAACATCAACTCAACTTAATTATGTCAAACAGTGTAATCTAAAACACATTTCTCCTTCCAGCAGGAAGAACATGACCCTAATATTTCACTATTTGTTCCACAATCATCATGTTTAAATATGATTTACTAAAACATGACGCAAAAACCTCAGACTGAATTGTTACTTTAGTGACTCTAATGTATTAAATATAAAACACTATTTTATCTACACTGAAATTAAAAATCAACTTGTTTCTTTTTTTAAAAAATCACTGTTTCCATCCTTGAGCAGCTTATCCTGGACTGAATGAGGATTTGGTTCAGAAATATAAGCTTCCATGATGGCACACTAAAGAGTTGATGATGATGATAGTCAGATGTTGAGTAGGAATCAAGAGACGAATGGCAAAAGTGCCCTCAAAGAGAAGTTCTTTCTAAGAAGTTTTAAAAGCCAGCAAGAGGTGATCATTTTTAAAGATTTTGGCTCAGAATTCCAGGCATTAGGCCAATAGAATCTGAATGGATGTCACCCAATGTGGCAATAGAGAGAATGGAAAGAGTCAAACATTCAGACAATTAAGTTGTTTAAGGTTCGGGTTCCAATGATTTTCGGAAGAGACAGAATCATTCCATGTGATAGAAAAGGATCTTAATGAAAGATCAAATATGAATAAAAGGATCAGCTCAGAATTGAACAGAATTTAATACTGATCTCACTATGTTGGTTTCAAGGGAATGTAGAATGAAATTCTAATGAAATGCCTGCAGTGGCTAACAGGTTAATACATATCACTTAAGATTCCTCTGATGACTTTTCGATGGCCTGAGCTGTCAGATCATATCTCATGAGGAAGAATGCTGGCATTTTGACAGTGCAATTAATGGCAGGTCCACCAACATTTGATGCTATGCAGCTTTAGGTCAACATTAATGGTAATATAGGGGGAATTCTAGATCCTTCCCTTTATCAATTTTGGTGGCATCGGGTATTAAATCCAACAAAGTAGGGACCACACTACCTTCTCGATACTGCCGCAGTTAAGACCAGGGTGGGAAAGCTCCTGGATGGTCTTCTCTCCCTGTTGCCAACTCAGGCCTTCAGTGGGAAATCCTGCGGCCAGTGCCCTTCACCCAGTGCTGATAGTCTGTAAAGCAAAATGATGGTCTAGCACTGCATGATTGAGAGAACTGGCATCAGGAAGGTGGAAGGGCGGGGGGGGCATGGAGTGCCACCTTGCCTTTAATAAAACACACAATGTCCTGGGCTTTGTTAACAAAGGATGTTATGCTGAATTTAGATTTCACATGGAACACTGTGTGCTGTTCTGGGTGCCACAATTTGGGAAGGATGTGAACACATTGGAAAGAGGGCAGAAGAGATTTACAAAAATGTTTCCAGAGAATGTGAAAGTTCATTTATGATGGTAGATCGGAGATGCTGGTATTGTTCTCCTGGAGAGAGAGGAAGGCTAACAGGAAATCTGATAGAAGTTCTCAAATCAGGAGAGATCTGGATTGGGAGAAACGGTTACTGCACATGAGAGGATCGAAAGTGGCAGATTTAAAGCGTAGCAAATATGATGTCAGAGAAATCTTTATCCCCACAAAGAGTGGTTGGGGTCTGATGGTGGAGGCAGAGTCAATTGAGACATTCAAGAAGGCATTGTTTCTATTCAAATAAGCATCCGATATGCTACGATATGGGAAAATGATAGCAAATGGCACTACTTAATAAAGTTCATTAGAGGGCTAGTGCAGACACTATGGGCTGAATAACCTCTTTCTGCCCTGTAACAATTCATAGAATCCCTACAGTGTGGAAACAGGCCCGTTGGCCCAACAAGTCCACACCAACCCTCAGAGCATCCCACCCAGATCCATTCACCTATAACCCACCTAGTCTACACATCCCTGAATACTACGGGCAATTTAGCATGGCCAATCCACCTAGCCTGCACATCTTTGGACTGTGGGAGGAAACCTGAGCACGCGGAGGAAACCCATGCAGACACGGGGAGAATGTGCAAACTCCACACAGGTGGTCACCTGAGGGTGGAAATGAACCTGGGTCACTAGCGCTATAAGGCAGCAGTGCTAACCACTGAGCCACCGTGCTGCCCCAAATAATTCTGTGTTATCACCTCCCAGTCTTCTTATTACAAGGGAATGTGAAACAGAACTCCATTAAAATTCCTGTCTAGAATGCTGCTTCCTGCACACCTCATAGACTTCAGGCAATAGAGGCTTGTTAAAGGCATCCCAACAGCTATACACAATGTATCAGAAAGGCTTCATTCAGGTGAACTCAGTGAGAATTAACTGCCTGCAGTCCAGGTTCAAGAAGCCAATAGCAGATTTAAAAGATAGCTTGACTTGTCTGTTCCTGAGCATTGACAACTGGGAGACAAGCCGAGGA